TTCTAAGTAGTACGTTGGGTTACCTGCTCTCTTCATATCTCAAGGCCTTCTTGCCCCCAACGTCTTGCAAAGCTGCATCCCACTTAAGGATCCGGTCGTCTCGATCATTATGATCTTTGGTCCTCCACATATTCCATAGCTGAAGACCGAAATCTCCGTCAAGTTTATGCACCATGGATGTCTTCAACTTGTAGAATATTGGTATAACCCATAGAGTGCCTCGATCCACGCACTCTTTTATCTTCACCAACTCATCCAAACACCAATGTGATTCCGTGTACCTACTCGATAAGATCGCCAGTGCGACCGTTGACTCATCAATCTTTCTAAAAAGAGTTTCAAGATTCTCACCTGCTTTCAGGTCATTGTCTACAAAAGCATTGATCCCTTGGCGCTTCAAGGCATCATTGAGATTCATGACAAAGTTATTACGCAGCTCTCCCCGAAAATTGATGAACACTTGTGGTCCTTTGACGTTGGTGGGAGAAGAGGATGCCGCCATCTGAATTTTTTACTTTTTTACTTTTTTTCTGGCCAATTGGTTGTTTGGAGAAGCAAATGATAGGTTTGCTACAATAGAATATCCATATCATTGACGTCCTCTTAAATACTCCATCTTAGCGGACCGCGTTTATCGTCAAGATTACCAGAGCTAACAAAAAAAGTTATGGTTGTATGTAAGAACTTAAGTAATGGTAATTTACTGGTTACTTTCTTCTTAGTCGAGACAAAGACATGATATTTTATTAGAAAGACTATATCTTGAGAAATGACCAGAGCTAAAAACAAAAGTGTGGATTTTAAGTCATGGAAAACAATACAATGTAAATAATTGATTAATCGGCAATAAATTGATTGATATATGTCCTTTAAATATTATTTTATGTTCCATCAAATTTTCTATGAAGATTCCTATTTAACACGTTCCTTCGAAATTATTGGTTTTTCAACTCATTAAGAACTGAATTTTTTAGCAAAAAAAAAAGAACTGAATTTCACTATTAGATCGCCAATATATCATATTTGGATCAATACACAACTCTGATACCATGTTAATCTTATATATTTTCAAATCAAAAACAATTGAAATAGCCTATGTCCTTTATACATTAAACTTCCGATGTAGGTTAAATGACCTAAGGGTGACCCATAAAAAAATTTCAATAGCATCGCCCTTTTTCAAGATTAGTTTACTAAAAAAAAAATTAGATTTGACATAAAAAATCTTATCATTAGAGTAATCGTCATGTTTTTATTGATGACTGATATAGATTTTTGTTTGACTCTGCACTTCGTTATTAAAAACCCAACTTTTATAGGTTGACTGCTCTAAGATTTCTTCAACTTTGTCCATTCTTAGACTTTGACCTCTTAATTTTCTCCCTTTAGAAAATACATCTCTTTATCCCCCTAAATTATTTTTATTCTTCGAAACTTACAAAATCATGTTAAACCATTGATTTAGATTTATTAACCAATGATTGCATTTAGTGTTAGTGAATAAGATTAATCCGATTCATAGTTCGATTAATCTGACATAAGTAAACTCTTATTGAAACCCTCGCTGTGAAAAATTAGATTTCGAAATTTACAAAATCATGTTAAACCATGAATATGAATGGAAGATTCGAGGAAACTCATATAACTTAACATATAAAAAACATTAGATTATTTTAAGTTTAGCTAATCGTTGTTATCCTATTTTCGTGAAACATTCAACATTTAAATTGCGTACCAATATAACCAACAATATTGGAGTCTTATTTATATATGAAGTGTGTTGTAAAACGCAAACGCTAGCCGGTGTCTAACAAAAGAAAGTAGGTGGTCGTTGTTAAGGCTATACATTTTCATTTTCTATGGACTTATTCCATTTTATTGCTGTTGCTATATGATTTGACATTAGAAGGCAATGGGAAAGAGAGTATCATAGTATTTGGCATTTTCTAATATACAGAAAACGTTTTCTATAGAGAAGCTTACATGCATGGAATATATTTTGTTTTGGCTAATGATTTGACATTAGTAGATAATCGGAAATAAAGTATTTAATGTTTTCTAATGTAAATATAATTTTTTATACAGAGAAACTTTTGCATGCATGGAACAGACCCTTCTTGTTTTTTTTTGTTTTTTAAGTGATAGCGTGCAGTATTAGATATCATTCAATTTCTCGACGCGTTCGTCGATGTTTTGGTTTTGTCAAGTTTTACTTCGATTTAAAATTACAAACTACTAGAAACTACGTGTTATCTATATATAATAGCAAACCCAAAAAAATAAATATTTTTGGGTTGTGATTTTTCATAATAAATCGTTTAGTAGTTATTTTTAATGACTATTTTCAAAAATTGTGTCTTTTCGATATTGTCGTTTTGTCAAGGATTACGTTTTTCTGATATAACCATTTAATCAAGAGTTGCGTCTTTTCAATATAACCGTTTTATCAAGAGTTGTGCATATATATTTGTGTTATTTTCTTTTTTCCCGTGAAATTTATTAATCATGGCTACTAATTATTTAATTCACTTAAAGCATAATAAATATAAAAAATGTCATTATATTATTTTGAAATTATTTTAAAATTACAAAAAAAAATTATTTTAAAATATATTATTTACTATTATGTTTTAATGTTAACAAGATTTTGCCAAGAGATGAGTAATATATTCGTACATAACAAAAGGATTATGCGAACGAATTGTAGTCTTCGGTGACATAGTGTTGAAAGTGGTGACACTCTTTTTGTGTTTAAAGGGCTTATTAATCGTTGGAACTTACCGAGATTTTACAAAAGTTTAAGATTCGTATTCGGATTATTCTATACATGATTCAAAACTTAAAATCTACATATAATAGCAAATAAAAAAAATGAATATTTTGGGTTGTGAATTTTCGTTAAAAACAGTTTAGTAGTTATTTTTAATGGTAATTTCCAAAAGCTGCGTCTTTTCGATATGACCGTTTTGTCAAGGGCTGCATCTTTCTGTTATAACCGTTTAATCAAGAGTTGCGTCATTTTGATATAACTGTTTTCTTAAAGGTTGTATCTTTCCAATATAAAAACCGCTTTGTGGTTATTTTCAAAGGTCGCGTCTTTTTGAGAAAAAACGTTTTGCCTATATATTTGTGTTATAACTTTTTTCTTTATAAAGAGAAACATTTTTTGTATACATCGAAATATTTAAGTCACGTTAACATTGGTCTAATGGTTAGACAAAGAGGTATGATTCCAATCCGTAAGCTGCGTGTGGAAGAAAAACGTTTCTCACTAACATTATTCATTTGTCTCAATATAAATTTTGTAGTTGTATTTTTGGGTTGTATCTTTTCGAAACTAACTTATGGTTATTTTTAAAAGTTACGTTTTATCGATATAATCTCTTTTTGAAAGGTTGCGTTTTTTCATTAAAACCGTTTTATGGTTATTTAAATTGTTTTTTTCTTCATTACATATTTTTCGTAAGTCTGATTTGGGTTCAACTTGAGAATTGATAAAAACTATGCTTTAAAATCCCTTAGATATGATTATAGGTTTACGTTTATATGCATGTGTGTCGAAAGTAAATTGTATATTTCGTTGTGTTGACAACAATTTTTTAAAAAACATATAGGTGGAGGTATTGTTATTAGTAGAAACTACGAATTCTATGGTTTTCAAAGAACACGGGAATATGATTTTTTTTTTTTTAAGTTAGGAGACTTGGTCTCTCGCCCTCAATTACGG